AAAGAGTGAAAAATTTAAGGGGGTCTGAATTTTCTTAATTCAAGTTATATATATATATTGTTCTATTTGTGATTTTGAAGTTATATATAATATGTGAAGTGAAGTTTACTGTTAAGTGCACTGATGTCAGACTCATTTTGAATAATAAAGTTTATTAAATTGTTAAATACCCTGCCTCCACTACATAGGCCTATGTTTGTCACATCATTATAAGTGTTTGATCACCACATTTGAGTTATCATTGCAAAAAATGTGTTTATGTATATATATTCTGTTTATGTAGGCTATATACTGTATTCTATATACAGTACCCGTCAAAAGTTTGGACACACGAATGGGAAGTGTGTCCAAACATTTGACTATACTGTACTATAATATAGCCTACACAAAGAATATCGGCCGATATATCGGTATCGGCCTCCAAAAAACCCTTATCGGTCGGGCTCTAGTATTTTGTTACCTTGAAAGGCTTTGTCTTTATAATAGGAAAATTAGTTTGGCTGTAATGCTCAGACAACTTGCAAAATAGAAAAACCAACATGACAAAGAATCATGATATGATATTTTTGCCATATCGCCCACCCCTAATTACATGCATAACCTGATAAGTTGCTTTTCGAATGGGAACTGCATCCCCTACAACAGCGGTTCTCAATTCCAGTCCTCACGCACCTTCTTAAAAAGGCTTCACCATAGACAGAGCTCATGGCTTGGTGTTCCTGGGAATACCTTTAAGGGAATAATGTCACTGACTGGAGATCTGAGAACAGAAGCTTAAACAGAAGCTCTTAAGCCAGAGGATGCCTAAGTTCTATGGTCAGGGCATTTGCCAATGATGCTTACAGAAAGCCTAGTGACCTAGAGTTGTTATTCAGGCAGAAGTCTGCAGAGCGAACAACTCACAAGGATGACTCTCTATAGTGAGAGGAGACCTAGTGACTTTCTATTCTAGAGGAAGCACCTCAGGAAGATCACAACCTGGCACTACTAACAGAACGAGCTCTAAAAAGGCTGAAGCCTCAGCATGACGAGGCTTACGGAGAGCCTAATGACTAGACAGGGTTTCTGCAGGATTTTTAAGCTCAAATTTAGGACCTTTTTAAGACCGACTTAAAGTTTAAAGCAGTTGTAAAAGCCTGAAGTTTGAACATTTAGATTAGATAGATGTTGATAACATGTTTCTAGCATGATTAGCATGTTTTTAACATGATTAGCCTGTTACTAGCATATTGCTGGCATAATTAGCATGTTACTAGCATGTCGCTAGCATGTTTCTTGCATGATAAGCATGTTACTAGCATGATTGGCCTGTGACTAGCATATTGCTGGCATAATTAGCATGTTACTAGCATGTTTAGCAAATGATTAGCATGTTTCTTGTATGATAAGCATGTTACTAGCATGATTGGACTGTGACTAGCATATTGCTGGCATAATTAGCATGTTACTAGCATGTTTAACAAGTGACTAGCATGTTTCTAGCATGTCGCTAGCATGTTTCTTGTATGATAAGCATGATTGACCTGTGACTAGCATATTGCTGGCATAATTAGCATGTTACTAGCATGTTTAGCAAGTGACTAGCATGTTTCTTGCATGTTACTAACATGATTGGCCGGTGACTAGCATATTGCTGGCATAATTAGCATGTTACTAGCATGTTTAGCAAGTGACTAGCATGTTTCTTGCATGATAAGCATGTTACTAGCATGATTGGCCTTTGAATAGCATATTGCTGGCATAATTAGCATGTTACTAGCATGTTTAGCAAGTGACTAGCAT